CTCCCTCATAAATCAATAAACTTAAGAAAAATTGAAACGGTTTGATTATAACAGTGCTCTCAAAGCTTAATTTTGGAAGAAAATTGTAAAACATAGCTGCTCTTTCCTATACGTTCTCTTAAACAGCTGCGCTCATAATAGTGCCTGTACACTGTATAAAATAAAATTAATTTTTTTTATCAGATTTACGTTTTGCGACAACACTCTTACAAGCTCACATAAAAAGTATATCTGACCAGCAAAAAAACACTGTGCAGAGTAATATTACTCTTCACTCTTATCCAAGCCATTTCTCTAATGAATTACAACCTTTACAAGTACTGAATCACAATGATGAATCGTGTACCATTTTGGTCACACCTGAAGAACATCAAAGAGCTCTCACAGGTAAGCAAGTGTTATATGCTACTCAGATACGAAAAACTAGCATGGTTTTGAAATTTTGTTGTAACTGCAGATTTATCGTTTGCCACTGAACTTGTTAATAAACATAAGACACAGTTTATGGTATCATCAACAGTTCAAGGAAATGGCCAAGAAGTTTTGCAGGATGACGAATCCGAAAGTATGGATGTTATAGAAGAGGAATTCGCTGATCCAACTATTGGTACGTAATTATAATCTACTTATTTTTTCACTTCGCGTCTTTCCGCACTAATAGTAGATGTATCTCTCCCTCTATTTTCCTGTCTTTATGAATATGAGTACTATTACTTTTTTATTCGTCAGTGTAAAAATTTTACTGTGAATTGTCACACATCTATTAAATGCATATTTGCAGGTTCCAAAACAAAAGACCGTACCTTGTGGTCTGACGCACAAGTAACTCTTCTTTTATCTCTGTATGGTGATAATCAAGAACTATTAGACAGTAATGCTATGACTTACAGACAATTTTATAAAATTCTTTCTCAAGGACTTTTGGAAAAAGGTTACAAATTCTCTTCTATTCAGTGCCAGTACAAAATTGATAATTTAAAAAAAAAGTATAAAGAGGTCAAGGATCACAATGCCAAATCTGGGAATAATCGAAAAGATTTTGCATTTTTTATGGTAATATAGAAAATTCATTTACTCTCTTATTCAATGTATCAATAATAAAAATTTTATTAACTTTTGTTAGAAAATGGACGATTTGTTTTCAAAAAAACCGTGGGTTACTCCCATTTCTGTAGCTGGATCGGATTTACCATTGATGATAAGTGAAAAAGAAAATTCGATGGGCAAATGTTCTTCAAACTTTAGTTTGTATTCTTCTGTACCATAGTTGTAAAAAAATTATATATAATTGCATAAATGTATAAACCTACTTTATTTGCAGAAAATCAGAAGGCGAGTATTGATGCACTGAAGAAGGAATATCTGCAAAGTGCCATTGATGAAAGGATCCTTCGAAGAAAGGAAAATTCTGCATATCGACAAAAAAAACTACAGGTCCTTGAAACCTTAGCAACAGCACTAACCCAAAAATGTGATTCTTGCGATAGGGTCTAACAGTTCGCATTTTTACGTATTTTTTAAGCGTACATTTTTTTAATACTACTTTTTATGCTTAAGTTTGCTTCATAGTAATTTAGTATTATTACTTACAAACTGGGGTATTATTAATCTTCTTATTGGCCATTTCCTAATACTCAGCTTTTATTAATCTCAAAACATAACAATTTACTTTTAAACTAATAAGCTGATAGCTTTACTAAAAAAGTTAATGTGTTCATCGTAGAATGTAGGTTTATAAAATGTTTTGTAATATTTAGAGTTGTTTAATTTATAGCTTTGTTTCGTTACATTGAAATTTTATATTTGTATGTAAGTAATGTATGAACTTAAATTTAGAATTAGAGTAATTAAAAGCATTTTGTGATACATACATTATAGATATCATATTATGGACCAATTACATACATAATGCTCTCGTATATTTTTGTGATTTTCATATATATATACAGGAATTAAAATTAAAATTGATGTATTACCTCTAGAGTTACTAAAAAAATATATTCACATAACATGCGAAGGTAAATGTGTTATATAAATTACTGCAATGATAATAAAAAGGATATTTAAATATTCTATTTATTATAACATTACTTTGTAAAAACAAAAAAACTTAAATAAACAATTTTTTAAGAGTATATGTGTAGTACGTAAACAAATTGATGTAAAAATTTACATTATTAATAAATAGAGTGGTAACATGTAAATATACGAAAGCACGATACGACAGTTTATCTGAAGATCACTCATATAGAATATACATTTTTATATGTCTCTATTTCTTTGCAGTGTCAGCACTAATTCCCGTCTCTTAGCTTCTCCTAGTCTCTTTTGATCAGCATTTACTGCGAGGGGCTCTGGATACTCATTTTCAGTGTCTGGTATAACGATAGGATACTCAAACGTATCCTCTCTTTTTAAACAAATGTTGTGCAAGACACAAGTAGCTAAAATGTAGAATGGTAAGAGATCAGTCCGTCGCATTGGTACTTTATCCAAAAGAATTCTCCATCTCATCTTCAAGAGTCCAATACAACGCTCTACCATAGTACGTATTCTCGACAAGTTGGTATTAAAAAGAGTTTCTTCTCTGCTGAGATGCCCATTGTCTTTGAAGGGAACCATAATACATTTCTGAATAGTGTAAGCTGCATCAGCTAGGATGTGACAATCGTTTGGAAAATATTCGTCAGTGCACTTATCTTGTACACCAGAATACTTGAAGACTCTCATATCATGCACAGACCCAGGCATGCCCACGTAACAGTGCATGAATTCCAACTTGTCGTTGCATATGACCTGCAATATGATCGGTTATACAAAAGGTATTAACAAACTTAAGTTAAAATATTCACTTGTGTTGACAAAGTTGAAAACAATAAATTCGTCATGAACCTGTAATTGTATGGAGTGTTTGCCTTTTCTGTTAATGTATGCGTTTGGATCATTTTTGGGAGCCGATATATTAATATGGGTACCATCCAAGGCCCCGATTACACCAGGAAACCCATGAGCCTCTTGGATTCGTACAGCTGTTTCTTGAGCTTCCTCATGAGAAGGCCACCTAATAAAATAATTTCGATAGTTGCAGAGCACTTTAACAACTCTGAACGTACTTTTCCACGCTGTTGACTTTGCAACACCAAATTTAGAGGTCACAGATCTGTTAACAGGAAACCAGAAAGTTACTGATACAGATCGCCAAAGTAAAATTGTAGTGAGTTGGAATAGTATTCTGTATATATAATAAGTATTACCTGTAGGAATCAGGTGTTCCCAAAATCCATAATGCTATTAACAGTTGTTTTTCTGCACTAATAGGAACATTTCCAAATCCACCAACAGCAGCTTCTAATTGATCCCTCGTGAGAAAGAGGAGATAATCGAAAGTAACACGCCTAAGCCTATGCAATACAATCAATAATTAAGTATTATAAGAATAATTACAACAATATTATTATTATTAATTCTATTATTATTATTATTATT